TTGGGTCTTATTTAGAAATATTACTTTCAAAAGTTTTGTTCCTCAGGGCAGAGAATCGCTTTTTAATTTGTTTTTGCAAATCCCGCCAGATAACTTTCATGGCAGGATCGCGTGTTCTTCGATATTGTCTCCTACGGACATTTTTTAAGCGGATCAAAAGCTGAAGATCGTCGTCTATTATAATTGAATCGAATTTAACGTCGTATTTTGGCACTGAGACAGCTCTTGCTTAAACTATTGAAGTAGTCATAGATTCAAGAGCATAATTAATTTCATCTTTGGTTTGCAAAGGAATGTTTGGATCGAAGCTATATTCCATAAATGTTCGATATTACGCCCAATCAGCTCTATGGTAATTGAAAGTAGAGCTGTTGGGATTAGAAATTATTTCTTGGGATATTTCAAAAGTTACTGGAAGGTGATCAAAACCGAAGTCAGCATGGATAACCAATTGGCTCCAAAGTTGAAGTGAATCAGTTAAGACCAAATCAATAGTTGAGAGATTTCTTGCTGCAGAAAAGCATGTTGGGCTGTTTGGATATTGAATACTGAATAGTGTAATAACCTGCAGAACAATCATCAAACAGAATATTACCAATGGAATTGCTTTGGGCATTATTCCATGAGCGGTTTTTTGCATTAAAATCACCAATAATGAAGAATTTAGACCTATGACGCGTAAGTTTCTGAAGGTCACCCTTGAGAAAATTCTTTTGCTGGCCTACGCATTGGAATGGCAAATAGGCAGCTATAAACGTTAGTTGTTCAAATTTTGTTTCAACAGAAACTCCCAAAGTTTCAAAAACTTTGGTTTCAAATGAAGAAAGAATTTTATGTTTGATTCGTCTATGGACAATGCTGGCAACGCCACCACAGGCTCCATCAAGACGATCATTTTTATAAATGAAATAATTTGCTATACCTTATGGTCAGTTATAACGGAAATATGCACGTAAGTTAAAGTTAAATAGCTCTTCTTCATTATCGTTCAGAGATCGAGCATTCCAATTTAAAATATTTAAAGCTTTAAAATCCATTACTGAATTTTAAAGTCATGACAATATTGATCGCAAGTTTTACTCCAGTTTGAATAGCATCAAACATGGAGTTAGATTTAGGCATATCAGTAATAATGTCAATTAATGATCTTTGTAAAAATTCCATTTTAGGAGCAGTAATGCTTCCTAAGTCAAAATTTTCAAAATTCCTGTTAGAATTACGTTGGCACTAGCAGCATAGGTAGCTCCATTGACTCGCTGAACATTATTGTTAGCAGCGAGGGGAGTAGATATAGATGAAGAATTTGAAGCAGGGTGATATTTGTACTTCCGGGTACGAATGTAGAATTTGTTCCTCGCTGACCGTTGTTAACAGCAGAGGAATTTGTACCTGTTCGGAAATATGGAGCGTTTCCTACCTGGCGTTTAGAACGAGGTTGTAGAATCGCTTTGCGAGTCTTACATTCCCAAAAATTGGATTTGTGGTTTTCACCACAATTTGAACATTTAAATTTCTTAAGATCTTCCTTCACAGGACAGTCGTCCTTTGCGTGAGAGGAATCACCACAATTCATACATTTAGCTGGCATGTAGCAATTTTTAGTTCCGTGACCCCATCCCTGGCACTTACGGCACTGGGTGAGGTTTTGGAAATTTCCTCCAGTCTTCCTGAAATGTTCCCACTTCACTCGGACATGGAGCATAAGGCTAGCTTTTTCTAAGGCCTTAAGGTTGTTCAGTTCACTAGACTTGAAGTGAACTAAATAAAAATCATTAGAAATCCCGTTGCGCGAATCGCCAGGACGGGATTTCATTTTCATTTTGATTACTTGGAGTGGCACAACTCCAAGTAATTTAGCCAGTTCATCTTTGATCTGATCCAGGGATTCACCACTGGGCAGTCCTTTCATGACAACATTGAACACACGTTCAGTTTTGGTGTCGTAAATAAAAAATTTGTGCTGCTTCTCAGTAAGATACTTGAGAAGACATTTAAATCTATCCAAGGTTTCAGCCAAAACATGGCATTCACCCCGACATCCAATTTGTAGTGAAAACTTAACTTTCACGAAGTTGAAAAGTTCCATGCGAAGAGCATGGAAATCGGAAGCGGTTATCACAATAGGGGAATATTTTCCTTCTTAGCATTAAGCCGGGAAAGTTTACTAGAATTTTTCCTGGATGATGGATCATTTTCATCATCCGTGAGCAAATCAAATTGCTCAAATTAATTTCATCCGAAGGGGAATCAATAGTTTGCCCATTTCTTTTGCGCTTAGGCGCCATGGCGGCAGTAAATTTTAATCAAAATCGACTTCCAAGCAGATTACCATAAGAATCTGAAGGATCAGTGGAATTTTCCAAATCGATATTCAAGAAGGATTACCTCGGGTAGGGTCCAAACAAGGATCGAAGAGGAATAAGAGTTGAACAAGGTAGAAATTTTACAGGTTGAGCACTGAAAAGTGCTGTTTAAATTTGCTGTAGCTTTAGGTAGTACTAACACTTCCTTCAGTATAAAGCAAATAGATCCGCACGGCAAGAGAGCACGATGCGCAAAAATCACCCTACTGCTTTCTCTCTGAGATGACCTCGTTGGTCGTGACGAGAGGAGCAACACAATAGTTGGGTAAAGAAGAATTGCATTAAAGGGTGTCCACGATGAAATTGCCACACTATGAAATTGCTCTAACTTTTTAACCGTTGGGTAGAATTTAATGAAAATTTGGGTGGATTTAGTTCATAGTGCATTATTTACATCCTGCAAGTTTTAAAGTCCTGTGATCAAAACTCGCGGAAATGGAGTCGAAAGAACAGCTCGTGCGTGATAAAATCTTGCGCATTCATCACGAGAACAAGGATCTCTCGCATCGTTCCATCGCTAAAACGTTGGGAATCGCGAATTCCACGGTGTCGCGAGTGATTAAGCGGTTCGAGGAACGGTTGACCACCGATCGGAAGCCCAGAAGTGAAGGAAAAAGTATTCCGTACAACACCAAAAATCACAACCGCGTAGTTGGGGCCTTCAACCGAAATCCGAACGCCTCCGTTAGGGATGTGGCTAAGAAGCTGCACCTAAGCCGAAGTTTTGTCCAGAAGGCCAAAACTAAGGCTGGGCTTCGAACGTTCAAGGTACAAAAGGCCCCTAATCACGACGAGAAGCAGAACAAGTCCGCCAAAACCCGTGCCAGGAAGTTGTACCTCAACATGCTGACGAAAGTTGAATGCTGCATCATGGACGACGAAACATATGTGAAGGCCGACTTCAAACAGATCCCCGGCAACCTGTTTTTCACGGCCAAGGATAAGTTCAGCGTTCCGGAGCATGTCCGCACTCAGAAGATGTCCAAATTTGCGAAGAAATTTCTGGTTTGGCAAGCCATCTGCACGTGCGGGAAGCGGAGTGCACCTTTCGTGACCCAGGACACGATGAACGGACAGGTATGTATGTATGTACAGGTGTACATAAAAGAGTGCCTCCAGAAGCGGCTGCTTCCTCTCCTGAAAGCCCACAACGTCCCAACAATCTTCTGGCCGGATTTGGCCTCATGCCACTACTCCAAGGACGTGCTGAAGTGTATGGTCAATTTCATGCCGAAAATGTTCAACCCTCCCAACACTCCGGAGCTCCGCCCCATCGAGAAGTACTGGGCGATTATGAAGCAGCACCTTCTTAAACGACCTAAGGTAGTGAAGACAGTCGAGGAACTGAAGAAAGTATGGGTTTACATGCAAAAAACGGTTGATTCACAGGTTGTGCAGAATCTTATGGCCGGGGTTAAGGCCAAGGTGCGGGCATTTGCGTATGGACTGTAAATAAAATACGAGTAAAATGGTAAAATGAAGTTTAATAGTTATTTCTCAATCCCTGAAAATTTGATGGCAATCGGATGAAAACTCGAATTTTTCGAATCAATTTTGTGTGTGGCAATTTCATCGTGGACACCCTTTATAACACACCATCGACTGAATATGCTTTCAGCAACGTGGGGCTTTAGGTAGGATGAAACGTAGCTAAAACTATTCCACAGCTGCAGACAGTAATGAGCAAATTTCCGCGTACATCGTATGGGTTAGGAAAACAGGTGTGCGGTTGACTTTGTACTGTCGCATTAATGGCCCTTCGCTCATTTTCAACTTCTATTCCATTTTTATACTGCCGTACTCTAACGGAACTATCTACCTAACCTCTCCTAAAGACAATTATCTACCTAATAAATTATCACCCTAAAGCTTCATGTTAGATAGCATTTCCAACCAACTCTGAAGAACGTGTGTTTTCTTTGTAAGATGGAAGGGCACCAGATGAATTCCTGCCCCAATTAGAAGGAAGCAGCCAGAGAAGTAACAACTGGACGGTGAACGAAACCAGAACGAGAAAAAGCGCGACCAGTACGAAATTCAAATTTGTAGCAATTTAGAAACTAGATCGTATGCAGGTGTGGTAGCTTGAAGTGCCATAAGGGAAGCGATTGAGGTGCTCGATGAAAAAGTGATGGCAATCAAAGAGATTACCCCAGATGAAGATAGCAACAAAAAAGGAGAACAAGCTAGCGGAAGCTAGGATTATTTTGAACTATTTTGATTACCGGAAAGACTTAACGGCAATAGAACTGTTTGAAAAACAGCAAATAAATTATTAGAAGAAAACTGAAGAAAGAAAAATGTTTGGCCCTCTTTTTATTTATTTATTTATTTATTTATTTAAAAACATATCGGTTCGGTAAAGCTAACGTGATTTTGACTTACAAATAAATGATGAAACAAAAAAGACTTTATATTAAAAAACACAACGCTGTCCAACTAAATGTTCCTTTTTTTTTAATATTTGGAATGTCGTTGAAAGGACCTGCAGGAAACCTTTATGTTAATTTGCATACCATAAATCCTTTGGAATGCATAAAAGACAAACACCGTGTGATGAAAAAATAAAGATTTAAGTTTATTACTAATACGTAAGCATTATTAATCGACATGTTAATTTCTGAATGAATTTTACAGGTGAATGTCTGACAAGAGGTTTAATAGACGTTACAGACTGCTACTATGGATTTCCGATAGCGCTGAGTTATCCTCATTTTTACGATGCTGATCCCGAACTTCTCACAACGATAGAAGGGCTTCATCCCAATGGATCAATTCATGGTAGTTTCTTCATGATAAATGCGGTAAGTTTGCAAGCTTTTAGAGCAAGAAATGTCAGTTGTTTCAATTTAATTCAACTGAGTATTTTGTATCCATGACATATACGTATTTCAACGGAGTAAGCGTGACTAACTCTCACTCCAGCAGGCCTGGGTTCAATCCCAGTCAGTGCCGCCGGGGGGTTTAATTCTTCAAACAGCTCCAATACTACTACTAATGCTGATATATCAATGCACTTCACACCTGCCTTTAGAAATAACTTTCATAAAGACCTGATTGTAACGGAACTACAGGGTAGTCTCGTTTGGTAGCTGGGTGAGTTCCGTATCACCCAAGATCTGTCAGCGAAAACGTCAGGGAGAGTACAACGGGTGACGTGAATCTCAAACGTCACAGGCAGCAAAAAAAATCGTTTAACACAGATGAAACACAAACGTGGAAAAACGAATAAACACAAAGAAAATTATAGTTAAATTCTTAAAAGTAAAGCTTAATTATATTCAAGGCAGGCTAATCCGATAAATTTACGATCCAGTAAAAGCAAAGGGACTAGGTGGCAATTACCAAGGTTGCAAATACTCATTTAAGCTAAAACAATGTTTTTTTTTAATATGAAATAATTAGATGCTAAGATCATATTTTGAATTGGTAAGATACAAGAAGAGGTTGCAAAGAATGTGTTTGACATATTAAACCTGTTTATTTTACTTCATGAGAGTCACAATCAGCGATTTTTCACACATTCACTCACTCACTCACTCATTCACTCAGCGATCAGCAAATCGCTGATTGTGACTCATAGAAAGCAAAATTTACAGGTTTTATGTTTCAAACGCATACTTTGTAACCTCTTCTTGTAAGTTACAAGTAAAACATGTCAGCATACCATCTTTTGGTTTTTTAATATACATAATGCGTTTATTTTTCCAGGCTAATTTTCTGTAGCTTTGCGAAGCCGATATTCATTGTTTAGATTATAAAATTAATTGAAACTAACATTAGTAAAGCGGGTGCCGATTACTCGCGGCTATCTCGAGGTTAGGGGTAACAAATTGTAACAAATGGATGGCAGGGTAGGGATTGTGAACACAAGGTTTGAAGAGAAATGTGCTCTTGATCTCGAACTTAGCGACACTCTGATGAAAAAGACAAACATGGCGGTACACCGATGGGCAGCTAACAACTTGGGAGAACACAAGATGACACTAACTAATAAATCCTCAGATCTATACGTTTTAAAAACACATAAATTAAATTCAAATAGTCGAGGTCTCGGCTCGCCAAGACATATCTAACGGGTATCGTGGGTTGTTTTCCTCGGGCCCTGAGGGATATGGATAACTCAGATCTGGCAACACGGTGTAAGGTACATGACCAAACAACATGCTCGATATCGTGATAACCACTGCCACACGCACATAAATTGCTGCCTGAGAGCCCAATTCGATAGAAGTGCGAGTCTAACGAGCAGTGATTGGACATAAGCCTTGATATAATGCGTATAAAGTCGCGGCTAATGTCCAACCCTTTGAACCATGGTTTGTTCGACACCTGTGGGAGAATAGAATGGTACCATCTTCCCAATTCACCATCATTCCATTTTTGTTGCCAACTGATGATGACTTGCTGACGAGCAATGGAGAAAAATTCGTTGAAGGCGATTTGACCACCTTAGCCAACGAGTCCGCTTTCTCATTGCCCGGAATTGAGCAATGAGATGGGACCCAAGCTAAGGTGATAGTATAGGAGCAGTTAGATAAAGCACTCAGTTTAGATCGTATTTCAGGCAGGAAATACGAGGAGTGCTTCATCGGTCTCATTTAACGAATAGCCTCCAATGAGCTAACTATCCGTAAAAATGAAATAATGGTCAGAAGGTAGTTAGGCAATTCACTCTACTGCGTAAAATATAGCTGCGAGTTCCGCAACGTATACGGAGCATGGTTTCTGCAGTTTATAGGAGGCGCTATGAAATTGATTAAATACACCAAATCCAGTGGAAGCATTTATGGTTGAACCATCTGTGAAAAATCATGGTGGTACTTGATTGCAAAAATTGAGGGAACAACCATCGACCGTTATCTGGTATTCCATGGATTTCTTGCATCATGGTCAGATCAAAATTTACAGAGGAACTATAGAAGGCTTGAAAGCAATCACGATTGGAGACTAATGACGAAGGACCAACCTCCAGCGTCATGTACTCATAGTACAAACTCATGAATCTTGTTTGAGGATTTCGGTCGGTAAGCTTCTCAAAGCGTTCTATTACCAAAGGATTCATTACTTCACAACGGATGAGAAACCCGAAAGGCAGCTCAGCGAAACGATCTGTCAGTGGGAAAACACCCGCGAGTACTTCGAGGCTCATCGTATGAGTCGAGTGCATACAGCCTAGCGCAATACGAAGGCAACGGTATTGAATCCTTTGCAGCTTCAGGATGTGTGTTTTTGCTGCGGATTGGAAGCAGAAGCTGCCGTACTCTAGAACCGAAAGGATGGTTGTTCGGTACAACCTGATCAGATCTGCCAGGTGGGCTCCCCTAGCAGCACACTTGTCACATAATAGTAGTTGTTACTTGTATGCACCTTATTTCAGTCACAATCAAGTTGCAGCAACCTATTTCGTTGGATGTGTGTTGCTTGGGTCCCCACCAAGTTCCGGTAATTGTACGAAGAAAATTAATCCTTTGCTGGCAATTTTGTTTCAGATACGCAATATGTTTTCCCCATGTGCATCATAATGCACATGGGGAAAACATATTGCGTATCTGAAACAAAATTGCCAGCAAAGGATTAATTTTCTTCGTACAATTACCGGAACTTGGTGGGGACCCAAGCAACACACAACGATTCATAAATCGAACCAGACACCTAAATACTTAAAAGAAATACTTTGAGTGATTGTTTTACCCATTATCTGAAGCTGTAACTGTGCAGGATGATGCTTCCTAGAAAAAACAACCAACTAAGTTTTCTCCGGAGAGAATTCGATACCCAGCTTCATAGCCCAAGTAGACAAATTGTCTAAGGTATCTTGCAATGGTTCTTGCAGGTCCGGTGCACTTGGTCCTATAACGGACACAACGCTGTCATCTGCAAGCTGCCTTAGTGAGCAATTTTCATCAAGGCAACCATCAATGGCTTTTACATAAAAGTTATAAAGAAGGGGAATTCCATGCCGAGACTTCCTAGACTAATTCAACCAATCTGCGGTTGCTGGTGACCAGTGGTAGCACCAGGGCACAGTGGTTAGAACAAGTTGGGTATGTGGTATCTAGTAATAGAGCACATTCGTTCCTTGTCGATGCTTGTCGAAAAAGCCTTTATTCCATTCAACTTACAGGGTTTATATAGCCGAAACGGCTTCAGAATTTACAAAGTTCTTACATTGCATTTTCCTAAATCTAGTTAGTTAAAACGAGAAAGAACGAGGCGCCTGGGAAAGTGTTGATAAACATTGAACATTTCGGTTATTTTACCCTCTACGCATCCATCGATAATGTTTTGCTATTTGACACTTTTCGTTTCCTTACTGGGTCCGTATACACGAGACCTCTGTTATACACCGGCGTAGGAAAAACGTTAGAGTCAGCAAGACAAGTGTTTGGGTCGTTCGCATCCATGCAATCGTACCACACATGCTTTCCTGACCTACTTCTCTCCGTTGCATTTCGGTTTGCTTATGGTTCAAAATGAAATTTGTAGTAACGTTAATATTTGTAACATGAATTGTGAATGATGTTCTGCTAATTTATTGCGTTGGGAAGATGAATAGCACAGGGAGCTTATACATGAGCCCTGGGGGAGACCCATGTAACTAATTCGTGAAGTTGTCGAGTTTCCATGAGAGAAGCTCATATATTTCTCAGACAACAAGTTGCTCAAATAGTTGTTCATAATTGGTGAAAGCCCACTATCGTGGAGTTTATCCGAAAGGACATCGATACAAACAGAATCAAAAGCCCCCTTAATGTCCATAGGCGCATAGGCCAGTTGAATTTCAGTTGAAAGCAACGCAAGACAGTCGCTCGTTCCCGAAATCCAAATTGCGTATCTGAAAGTAAACCATTCGACTCGACCCATTTGTCTAGACGAAAAAGAATCATTTTCTCCAACAATTTCCGTATACAGGACAGCATCGCGATGGGACGGTACGAGTTATAATCCGACGCGGGTTTACCGGGGTTTCGAATGGCGATAACTCTTACTTGCCTCCAGTCATCCGGAACAATGTTGCGCTCCAGAAATTGATTGAATAAGTTCAACAAGCGTCTCTTCGCGACGTCTGGGAGATTTTTGAGCAAGTTGAACTTGATTCTATCCACTCCTGGAGCTGAGTTGTTACATAAGAGGAGAGCAAGTGAGAGTTCCACCATCGAAATACCCGACCTTACCGTGTTTGCGGAAGCGTTTAAACGCGGCGGACTTCTCGCTGTTCGCGTCGGTGCAATCCTTATCCCACCACGGAGTGAGAGGTCGTTTGCGAACGGAAACACCTGGAACGCGTTTCGTCTGTGCTTGAAGAGCGCAGTCAACGATAAGCCGCGATAAATAAGGAGTTCTCATCCAGCGGAGGGAGTATCTCAACCGAATCAGTACCATCGATAACCGCGGACGCAAATTTTTGCCAGTCGATGTTTTTCGTGAGGTCGTACGCGATGTCAACCGAGCGAGTTGAAGATGAACCATTGGCAGTAGACATTTTGATTGGCATGTGTTCACTACCGTAGGGATCTTGAATTACTTTCCACGAGCAATCCAACGATAGTGAACTCGAACTGAGGCAGAGGTTTAATCTACTTTCTCTTGCTGGAGGTTTGGCTACTTGTGTTACTTCCCCAGTGTTTGAAATTGTCATATTGAAGCTATCGCAAAGGTCGTATATCAGCGTTGAGCGGTTGTCATTGTACAGTTCCACCCAGCCTGTACCGTGGGGGTTAAAATCTCCTAATATCAACCGAGGCTCAGGTAAAACTGAGCAGATATCAGAGAAACCTTGCCGAGAAATCGCAGTTCTCGG